TCACTGAGCCAATCCATCTTATAGGGAGTCTTCTTCGTTTTTGCTGACATGCCACTTTACTAAGCATGGTGCCCTCCTGATAATATATCTGAAGGACCAGATTTGAAGTCCCACCATCTTGGCTTTTAAGGTACACTCTCATTGTTTATGTTGTTGTTAAATGCTGTGAAGTCGGTTCCGACTCATAGCGACCCTGTATAGCAGAGCAGTTGGTGAGTTTGAACTGCCAACCTTGTTCACAGTCCAGTGCTGATCCACAGCACCACACCGGAAGTCCACTGTCGGAGATGTTTAAAAAGGGAGGGACTCAAATGGAGCTGGGATAAGCAAAACTGTACACTCAATGTGAGGCAGTCAAGGGAAATTTCAAATCTTCTCTGACCTGCATTTACCTGCCCCTTTGAGGACTTAGTAAAGATGAATTTTTCATCCAGTTTCCATTCTGCATTTCTTTTATCTTAGAAAGCAGGCATTGCTGGACATTGGTGAGGGCAGGAATAGATCTGATTGTTTTTATCAGATCTGAAAATGTTTCTGACATGAATGTGCAGTCAAGGTGTCAAGAAGGATTGTATTCATAGGGGACAGATGGCTCTGAGGTTGGTGGTGTGGAAGCTGCATTTGCTGTTTGTTGTGAAATGTTGGCTGCAATGTTGATGAGAAAGGGCTGAAGTAAGAGGGGAGTGGGCAAGCTGTTGCAGTATGGATGGGGTCTTAACTTCCATAAAATAGATTAACATTTTTTATTCCTTTGAGCAAGATGGCAGTTTGTCTAGTTGCATGGCACTGGTAACTCTCATGAAGACAAGGCTTCCTAGGAATCTGTAAGCCAGACAGATACTTTGATATCAGGAATGATTTCAACTGCAAGTATGTTTTTATTAAGGGCCATTGAGTCAGTTCCAACTCATAGTGACCCTGTCTGTATAAGGTTTCCAAAGCTGTAAATGTTTATGGGAGTGAAAACCTCATCTTTCTCCCTCTGATGGGCATGAACCACAGAATTTGTGGTTTGCAGTCCAGTGCTTATCCTACAGAGCCACTGTGCTCCCAACTGCACATGTAGGAGACACTAAACAAGAGTGCTATCTGTCATTTTGTGATTTGTGGTGGCTTTCGTATCAATATACCACTAGTATTTCAAATTCTAGCAGGCACTCATGAAGGACAGATTTCAGCAGAACTTCCATACTAAGACAAAGAAGAAAGAACTGGCAATCTATTTCTGAAAACCAGTCAAGTCAATGAAAACCTATGGATACCCACGGAACACTGAGACAGTACTCACAGAGCCCCTCACATTGAAAGGCATTGAAAACACTAAGGAAGAGCTGCCGTCTCAAAGGACAGTTTACTTGAATGACCAAATGAAGTAAAGCATTCTGGACCTTCACTTGCAAATGTGGCCCAACTTAAAATGAGAAGTAACAGCTGCAAACAACCATTCATAACGGAAACAGGGCATGTGTGAAGTACGAATCCAGGAAAATTAGGAGTCCTCAAAAATAAAATGAGTGCGCTGAAGTGGACTGGCATTGGGCGTTTTGAACCTGTCAATCATATTGTCTCCTATGCCAGGAATGACCAATTGAAGAGGACTCAAATGAATCAATGATTGTGAAGATGGTGCACGACCAAGTAACATTTTGTTCTGGGCTTACACATAAGCACACCATGAAGCTGTATCATCAGCATGGCAACTAACAACAAACAAACACAAGATTTCCTTCTCCTTTTTTTTTTTTAAAGACGCTTATCAGTACAATTAAAGAGAGGTAGTGGTTACATTGTTTTGGTGACCATGGGCTGATGTTTCTCTTCGGTCTTTTCCTCATAGTTCTAAAATGACTGCAGCAGCTCCAGACATCACAATCTCTTACTACATTCAGTGGCAGGAAGCTGAAAAGTAACAAGTTTCTCCTCAGGTTCTCCTCTCATCAGGAAAAAATAAAAAGTCATTCCCAGAAGCTTCTTAGCAGACTTCCCTTTGTGTCTCATTGACCAGAACTGGGTCACATAGCCAACTTGAGTTACACTGTGATTGGGAAAATAAGCACTGGTTTTCCTAGTCTTTGTTGTGGGAGGCAGTCAAGAGAGAGAGATTGTGAAAGATGTTGGGACAGGCAACCAACAGTCTGCTGCTTCCAAATCTTCTTGCTCCCAAGCAGGGTTTTTTTCTGTACTGGTCACACCGGGTCTTGGACTCTCTGCCTTGCCTGCTGCTCAGGTATAATATCTATAATACTATGCCCTCCATGGGAGTATTGTGGCTCCATAGGATAAGAACTAGACTGTGAACCACAAGGTCAGCGGTTCGAGACCACTAGCTGCTCCGTGGGAGAAAGATGAGGTTTTCTGTTCCTGCAAAGATTTATAAGCCTCAGAAACTTCATACAGGGTCACTATGCATTGGGACTCACTCGACAGCACTCGACAACAACAACATGTCCTCCTGGGGCTGCTTTTGCTGTTGGATGGTATTTGGATCTAGTACCATTAATTCCTTGCCCCATCCCTCCAGTATCTGCCTTTCCATGAGGATTTCTATTTAGGAACACTTGGATCTTTTAGAAAAACGTTGGCACTCCATCAGTCAGATAATCAGCCCCTGTTTACAGAGTACCCCACGTGTGCCAAGCCCTGTGGGAATGCAGAGATGTGTAAGCCATTCCTGGCCTCAAGGACCGCCCAGTCTGGTTGGCAGAATATGACAAAAACCTAGGGAATACGGAACAACAACTCAGGACCACAACAGAAGCCCTGTGTGCACAGGCAGGCTGTGATTGCATGCCTGGTGAGGTCAACAGACTCCAAAGGGCTCCAAGCTCTGCAGGCAGGAATAGGCCGAGAAGATACCCTAGAGGACATGGGCAGAAAGGAGTGGAATTAGGCTTAGGACCCACCTGGTGGGCAAGGTCCACATTTCCATAGGAGAGGGTTTCAAGAAGTTTGAGGAGAAAATTCCGTTTTTCCACAAACTTTTGAAATCCCCTCACATGCTAACACAATTCAACTCCACACCAATCAAACCAACTAGGTTTTATTGTCCTCATTTTATGGGGCAAGGTATCAAGCCTTCAAATCGTTAAATAATTTATTCAAGGTTTTCTAGCCAGCATGGTGGGTGGTGGTAACCACACTCTGTCCATTTTTTCCCTTGCTATTCCTTGTCTTCTACTAACAGGACCAGCCCCTGGTCACATGACATAGGCCTGGCCAATCATTATATTCCATTTCTTCAAATGCTTTGATTGGGCCATGAGAGGTCATGTGACCCAAACCAATTGCATCAAACTATCCAGATGGAGTAAGAGATAGATGGAGAGGATTCCATGGGCAGAGTCCAGATTTTATGCCCTAAAGCTCAGTTCCTACAACTCTTCCTTCAGTACTGAGAGCTACCAGGGGGATCAGTACAGTTCGTGCTTTTTAATAACAGGTCCTGGTGTGGTGCTACAAGATAAGTAATGGACTGCTAACCAAAAGGTCGGTGGTTCAAACCCACAAGTCGCTCCTCAGAAACCCTATACAACAGGGTCATTATGAGTCTGACCCGACTCGATGGCATTTAACAAATATTGAGATATTCACATACGACAAAATTCACCCATTTAAAGTGTACAAATCTGTGTTTTTTAGTGTATTTATAGAGTGGTGCAACCAACATCAATTTTACAACAAATGTTTTTTTCAAATTTAAAAGTTGGCAACTGTGTGGGTAATTGTTCATTTGCATATCCGGATGGTTTTTCAGCTCTGCTATGATTGTACTGGAAAGCTGACTCTGGTGGGCAGCACCCCCTCCCCTCCCCCAGGCTCCCTTGACCTCTAGATTCCAGTTGGATCTGGCCAATGAGTAGACTAAGTATATCAGAGATTGAAAGGTCAAGATACTTATATCCCCTTGTACTAAGCCTATCAACCCACATATGCCAGCTAGGACCATGGTTTTGACAAGAGACTATGTCCCTCTATGCACTGCCATAGCTCCAGAATGGTGGTTCCTGCCCCAGGTTACAGCGCCTTTGGTCTGGTGACCTCTTCTTCCCTTTCATCTTTAGGCCAAAGGGTGGTAATAGTTCCCCTGTTATTAGTCTCTGGTTGCCTCACCATTCTTGTTTTTTTTTTTTTTGTTTTTTTTTAACTCTATTCATACTAATAAATAGGAACTCTGGTAGCATAGTGGGCTGCTAAACTCAAGGTCAGCAGTTCTAAACTACCAGCAGTTCTGCAAGAGAAACATGAGGCTTTCTGCTCCCGTAAAGATTTACAGCCTCAGAAACCCTGTGCAGGGTTGCAATGAGTCGGAACTGACGCCACAGCACATAACCACCGCCCCCACCACCATACTAAGTAAATGGAGAGAGACCTGGTGTGGTGTAGGATAAAGCACTGGACCACAGGTCGGTTTGAACCACAAGGTTAGTGGTTCAAACTCACCAGCTGCTCCTCAGAAACCCTATACAGGGTCACTATGAGCTGGAACTGACTCGATGGCACTTATCAACAACAACTACTAGTAAATAGTTCCTTCATGAGGTGCTGTCCTCAACCCTTTTGAATGTTCCGTGTTTTTCCTACTAATAACAGTGGGGTATACGAACTAGGTTAAAAAAAAAACAACAGTAACACTTTGAGGTCCATACATTCCTGGATTTGCAGTTTATATCTAGTCCATAGGAAAACTCAGTTTACAACTCCTGACAAATGCTGAAAGCATTACACCTAGCCCCGCAAGCTAGAGCTGAAAGTGCCACGCAGGGGTAACCCAAAAAAAAGGGAGGAGCCATGAGATCTGTCCATCCAGTTTAATGACTGATGAAACCATGCAAATGCCAAACTATGGAGCACCAGGGACAAGGAAGGCACGAAGGCCTTCAGGGGAGATACTACAGCAATATCAGGGGAGAACTAGGGGACCAGCTGGCAGCTCTGGCCTATGATATATTCCTCAGTTGAGCACGCATCCCACGCCAAAAGCTGGAACAAGCCAGCTGCCTTCACTCTCGAACATAAATTCTCGTGCAGACCACGTCATCCGCACCAAACGTCTGCAGGAGAGAAGGAAAACCAGTCAGCGCAGCAGATTCCAGTGCAAAAACCGGTTAAAGCGTAATGCTAATGAGGCCACTTCCTGCCCTGCTAAATACTCTTTGTAAAAGACAATCAATTTCTTGGGTTGTTCACTTAGCTAAGCACAAAGGGGTTCTTTTGTTGTTGTTATTTAAGGGTTTTTTTTTTTCTTCTAAGCTCCATATTGGTTGAGACAAGTAGGGTATAGAACTATGTGACATGCAGTTTTCCTTTGCTTCTGGAACCTGACAAGAGAGATGCAAGTGTCCTGGCTTTGATTTTGAAACTGAAGGTGAAAGAAGGAGAATGCCATATTGGGCATATCTGAAATGATTCTGTCTGTTGCTGGATCAAAAAGTGATTTGGGTTGCTGGATCATGGCGCCCAGGGCTCTCCAGCCAGATGGGATTGCTTGGGAGAAGCCGCAGGTCTGCTTTTCATAAAGCAGCAGTCCCGCCTGGGGACATAGCCTGAAATGCTGTCCTAAGAAATACTTGAATCACCTGCACGTCCAGAAAACCGGCCACAGATGCCAAAGCACCGCATTGGCATTAGAGCCCTGCCACCCGAGCAGGGTGGAGGTGTTGGGTTGAGTCCATTTTGACTCATAGCAACTCCATGAGACAGAGTCGAACTACTGCATAGAATTTTCTAGACTGCAATCTTTATGGAAACCGATCGTCGGCCTTTCTCCTATGGAGCTACTGGGTAGATTCGAACCACCAACCTTTTGGTTAGCAGCCAAACTCTTAACTGTTGCACTACCAGGTAAGTTTGGTAGGCAAGTTCCCTTCCTCTCGGCCTGTGGTGGACGGGGGATCTGAGGATAGGGATGGAATTGAACAAGATCAGAGGCTCTTTCAAGGTAAAATGCTATGGTCTTTGTGTGTTTGTTTGTTTGCTGTGGGAAGGGTAAAGATGAACATTAGGTCATCATTCCATAGATGGAAGAGGTTGCTTTTCTGCTGGTCTCTAAGATGATAATGAAGTATTGGGTCTTCATCTCCTTCAAATATTCGCAATTATTCACTGACTGGCTCTCCTGGGAGTTTCTCACAGGCATTTGGAACAAGGAACACAATACAAAAGCTTAAAAAAACATCAACATAAACTCCTAGTCTTTAGACCTGATGTTGGCATATTTCTTTGCAGATGTACATTTTTCTGCAAAGTGGTCTCTAGTTTTCAGATCTTCAAAAGGGCTAGAGACGTGAGAGAGGTTAACACCACTGGCCTGAGAGCTTGGGTACCCTTGGATCTTTAGAGCCTTACCTCTAGAGTTCTCCGGTGGTTATGAGATGCTCTCGGAGAACATCTGCTAGGACATTATTCCAATGCCTGTGTTTCAGGGAAATTCTTACAGTCATTAAGGATTATTAAGGAGTGCTGGTGTGGCGTTGTGGGATAAAGCACCGGACTGCAAGGTTGGTTTGAACCACAAGGTCAGTGGTTCAAACTCACCAGCTGCTCCCTGGAAACCCTATACAGGGTCACTATAAATCGGAAGGTTGGTGGTTCAAACCTATCAGCCACTCCTTGGAAACCCTATACAGAATCACTGTGAGTTGGAACTGACTTAAACAATGACAATGAGTCAGAACTGACTCGACGGCAGTTAACAACAACAACAATAAATGCTCATTATAAGCTTATTTTCAAACTAGTGGACTTCTGACCCAATGCGGTTGTTCTTGTTTCTGGACACCTTGTCTTCCCTATCCTCTTCCATTATTAGTGCGAAATGCAGAGATTCTGTGTGCTGGATGGAGGGGTGGAGAGAGTTGTCCTACCAGAGCCTCGGTAGTTTTCTAGAACTCTCTGAGTTCTCGTCATGGAGTGTCAGGTGGAATGTTAAAATTTGGGGTTTAAGTCTTCACCCATGCTGTAACCAATATAGTGGCTATTGAAGATTCACCCAGGCTAGCAAATGATATGACATGAGAAAAAATGACCATAGTTACAGCCATGTTTGAAACGACCTTTTCAGCCTACAAACAACATATGTTGTTGTTGCCACTATTGTTAGATACTATTGTTAGATTCCAACTCAATAGAGACCTCAAGTGACAGAGGAAAATTGCTCCCTATGGCTTTCTAGAATCTTCACAGGAATAGAGTGCTATGTTTTCCTCCTATGTAGTCACTGAGTGTGTTTGAACCACCAACCTTTTGGTTAAATAACCGAGTGTTTATTTGCAGGGGTCTTTGCAAATAATGTGTAGATGTCACCCAAAGAAACTCTGTAGAATGTTCCGAGTGGTTTGAGGGAGTGTGCTCAGTTTTCGGAGGAAGGCAACTTGACAGCCCTGAGGCAATTTACTTTTGGCACTTATTTCAACTTATTTCAACTTAACTAGGATCATTTGCCTCTTGTTATATGGAGATAACACCTCCCTCAATTCTGGATTTATTAATGACAATAACTCTCGAAACAAAAGCCCACATTTCAAATCCCAAATGTCAAGAATTAATGCTCCCTTTGGGGCTCATATATAGGTTTGCTTAGCCAGGAAAAGATGCACGGGGGTAGATTGTAGTTGGAGAAGGGGGGAGATTTGGAAGTGGCTGAGTCCTCCTAGTGGAATCTGGCCTTTGACTCTGTCTGCTTGAGAACTACAGAGGTTAATCAAATCACACACTTTCTCACAGAGCACACTGATCTTTCTTAAGGCTGCGCTATTCAAGAACTCTAAAATCATCTCCGTGTGCTGTTTCATCTCTGTTAACACATGGTGAACCATCAGGGCCTTTTTCTTCTAAATTTCTGTGTCTCAGTCTCAAATTGCTCCCCAGCCCCCATTAAATACTCCTTTCTTGGAAAGGAAGGTTGCAAATTAAACCAGTCCTTTCTCTGTGAAAGGAGAAAGCATGTTAAATCATCCCAGAGACAGACGAGAAGAGAGAGAACTCAAACCGCCCCAGTGAAAGTAATAGAGACAGCTCTACTGAGGGTCTTCTGGCAAAAGAGCTCATATTCTGAGTCGCTAGGAGTTGGAATCGACTCAATGACAATGGTTTTACAGAACAAACATGTAATTCCAGGGTCCAGAGGGACACCAAGAATCAGACTTTAGTTCAATCCCTCAATTTACAGCAGGGTGGACGGTGCTAGGGAAGGGATGGGCCATGCCCAAGTCACATAGCAACTTTTCTTTCTTTCCTACAGCGCCTCACCATGTCCCATCCAACCCCCAACCCCAACCACATTTCAGGGCTAACATTCACTAAGACGGGGCAGGCTGGCAGACTTAAAGGGGAAAATTAACAAAATGCTTGATGGAGAACAAAGGATATAATTTCCTGTTTACCCACAACAGTCTTTCCCTTCCTAGTTGGGGAAGGGCTAAGCTTGGTGGTGCAGTGGGTTGTGTTGGACTGCTAACGGAAATGGCCAGTGATTTAAACATACCCGCCACTCTGCAGGAAAAAAAAGATGAGGCTGTTTGCTTTAGTGAAGATTTACAGCCTCCAAACCCCTACTGGGCATTATAATCGGTTCTTCAGAATTGACTTGAAGACACTGGGTTTGGTTTTTTTTAAGTCTGAGGTGGGGAAAGGTGGCTGTGTGGCGCTGTGGGATAAAGCACTGGACTGTAAGGTCAGTTGGAATCACAAGGTTGGCAGTTCAAACTCACCAGCCGCTCCTTGGAAACCCTATACAGGGTCGCTATGAGTCAGAACTGACTTGATGGCACGTCACAACAAGCAAAGCTTGGTCTGTTTTGAAAATGAAACCCTCTGTGGTTGAGTTGGCTCTGACTCACAGCAAACCTATAAGACAGAGTTGAACTGCCCTCGTAAGGTTTCTGAGACTGTAATTCATACAGAAGCAGACTTTATTACATCGTTTTTCTGTGGAGTGGCTAGTGGGTTCTAACAGCCAAGGCATCCGAGTGCTTTAGCCCCTGTGCCACCAAAGCTCCTTCTGAAAGCCAAAGCGAGAGTGATCTGGGAATTGTCTTGTTCTTGTCCCCATTCCTAAAAGGAGCGGAGGCATGGTTAAACTGCCAAAAACCAGTTACCTTCAAGTCAATTCTGACTCATGGAGAACCCAGACCCCATGTGTTCCAGACCACTGTGCTCCATAGGATTAAACTACAGAGGTTTCTAAACAATCTGGCTTTACCAAGTAGCTTTGTTTGGCCAGAAGTACTTAAAAGGTTTAAGTCTTAAAGTTGGAGCCCACATTCTCTAGTTCTAAATACTCCATTTTGTGTTAGGCTTAGACATTTCCCAATTTAGCACTTGCCTGAGTCCCGAAAGGTACTCTGGTAGCGTAGTGGTTACAAGTCGGGCTGCCAACCTCAAGGTCAGCAGTTCGAAACTTCCAACTGTTCATGGGAGAAAGGTGAGGCTTTCTGCTCCAGTAAAGATTTACAGCCTTGGAAACCCTATACAGGGTCGCTATAAGTCGGAACCGATTCCACGGCACATAACTACCACCTGGGTCCGGAAGGTCACAGGAATATATGTTCTCTAAGGCCCAAATGCTGATGTGTAAAACTTTCTAAAACCTTTCCCAGCCAGCAAAATGGGGAATAAAAAGAAGAAAAAAAAACCTTCTGCAGTGTGAACCCTGAGCCCTCACAGAGTCCCAGCTTGGGAGCCCAGTGAGAGGGGAGATTTGCTAAAAGTAAGTCACCCCTGGGATGTTATCAGTTTGGATCGTGGCAGGCATTTCTCTGCTCTTCTGAGTCATTCCTCTCATAGGGCTATCGTGGCTGACATACACTATCACCTCAGGCTTTCTGCTTAAATTTTAACAAAGGCCTATAGTGTCTCTCCCTGAAAAGATAAGCAAGGAGAACAGATTTGAGTGGTCTGCCGTGGGCATTATTTATGGAATTGGGGGCTTGTTTCAGGATCAGTGGGCTCTCACCAGGATGAGCTCGTTGTTGGCCAGCTCACGGGTCCAGTAGGTTTTGGGCCCGTCCCCCTCAAGGAGAGTTTGTGTGCAGTGGATCTTGTTTTCATTCTCCCAAGTGGCTAAACTCTGTGGGCAGAAAAACCATTAGTGACATTAATTACAGCCTCCACAGCGGGAGCAAACAACAATGAGTACCCTGAGAGTAATTGCTGTGCAGAGAAGCAACACATGGTCCCTGCCAGCAGGGTACAGAAGCTCTCTGCTGAGCCTTTATAGAGTCCAAATTCAGAGCTAGTCACAGATTTTATGGGGTACAGTTTTGAACCACAAGGTCAGTGGTTCAAACTCACGAGCCGTTCCTTGGAAACCCTATACAGGGTCACTATGAATCGAAACGGACTCCATGGCACTTAACAACAACAAGAAATACACCTTGTATGCATGCACACATTCCACAAAGTTGCAAAGCCTTAGGCATGACTTACTTCTCTAAGAATCAAGTTTAGTGCCCACAATGACTCATTTAATTTGTTTCTACCAATGCGAATTGTCCCCTCAAGCCATTTTGATTTTAAAGGCAAGAATCTTCACATCAGAACCACACAATTTTAGAACAGGTAAGACATGATGTCTGCAACCATCTCTGTACTCAACGGATCACAAGCACCGTTTCCTGTGTGGATTTTGAGGTAATGCTGCCTTTCTGGCTTGTACTCATCAGATATTCGGCAAAGCTTGCTCTGACAAACCTGTCTTTAGCTCTGAGGATAAAAACCCTGCCACTTTCCAGATAAACCCCTCCACGGGGAAAAGAAAACAAAACAAATCAAACCCATCTGAAAGGATGGAAGTGGGAGGTGAAAGGTGGGATTCTTTGCTGTTTTCTCCAGTGTCTGAATAAAACACCATTCAGCAGCTTTTTTAACTAATTCCTGGGAAACATTCATTAGGCAGAGTGGATCTATATTAAAAAAATAAAGTTCCACTCTTCCGGCTGTCCTGTGAAACTTTTTTTTTTAAATCAGAATTGCCCTTCTTGGCAGTAGCCACCAAGGAAGTTCCCATTTGAGTCCTACCTATTGCCAAACCTCGATTTAAACTCCCAAAGAGGAGTGCATCCATTTTATGGTCCAGTCTTAAAACTCAATTGTGAGGTCTTTCTGTCTTATTTTTTGCCAACAGTTGGCAATTCGGACCTCATTTTCAGTTTATCCCAATTCTGGGAGTCAAATATTACTGTGTGGGTCAGCGTGTTCCTGGGGAGCTGCGTCTCTGCATCCTTTTCCCAAACCCAGAGCCCAGAGTCCTGTCTGGAAATAAGACAGGCGCCGAGGACTCAGGAAAGGTGAAAGAAGCATTTCGCACTCTGTAATGTTATTAAGTTTTTCTTTTTAAACATTGGAGAAATGAAGGGAGGCACTCTGCCTTTTCAAATAAGTGGTAGTAACAGTGATTATTTTCCTATCTGTCATGCAAGTACTGACAGGGCTCAACCAAATGCAGTTTTTATCCATGCCAAAAAAGAATGTATAACCCCTTACTTCAATCCACTCTCATTCCTGGGGTCAGTGTGCCGAGAAATACAAAACTCTTGCCCTTCAGGGCTCAGAGACACGACTTAGTCGTTTTCCCAGCTAGAACACGCTTCCCTTTTGGAAGGATTTCGCCGCTGTTAAGGTACCCGGCTCCGGGCCATTGGGGACTACTGAAATTGGATCCAGTGTGTTCCCAGGGGGCCCTGGCACCCGGGGTGGGGGGGGTGGGGAGCCGCACTCCACCTGCGACAGGAAACGTGGTAGCAGCGGCCCCAGCACCCCCCGCCCCTCCTCCTGCGTCGCGGTTACTCGCGCCAAGGGCAGCAGAAGCCACCTTTGGGATGGGCTGTTAGCACCTCCAACGGTGGTTTAGGGATGGGATTGCGTAGGGTTTTCTCCAGAGCCCAGGGTACTCTGGTTGCACACGCCCTGCAAGGAAAGCAAGCCACAGACTGCAAGGGACAATTTATAAGGTTCATCAGGCTGCAGCAAAGGAACAGGGATTGCGGCGGGCAGTGGGCAGGAAGCGGGGACCTGGGGACGCTGTCCAAGCTCTGGGGCCTCACCCTGCACTTTCGTCCGTCCACTGTCTCCTCCTCGAAGCCTTCTCCGACTTTGAAGTTGATCTCGGTAGTGCGTACCGTGGTGGACGTCTTAATGTAGAACTGATCCCCATCCTGGCGGATCTCCACGTGCGGCTTGGACGCCGCAGCCACCGCCACCTTCCTCAGCATGGCGTTCACACCTGCGCCGGGTAGAGTGGGTGTGCCGCAGGCTTGGTTCACAAGGCCTCAAAACCCGCCTGTCGTCCCAAGACCAGCCCTTCCCAAACCCTCTGCCCATAAATAGGGGACTTAAAAGGGATCCACTCCTCTCTGCCCTCGCCCTGATTTTGGAGTACTGGGGCTCAGAGGAGTAAATGGCTTTCCCTGAATTGCATCGTGAATTCATGGCAGATCATGGTCTCAAATTGATTCCCCAAATTTAAAGTCCTTGATCTTCCTTGGATTCGGGCAATACTCTCTTCTCATGATGATCTAGCTCTGCATAAAGGCCGAGCCGTCGAGGAAGGGCCAAGCATCCTACAAAACATTCACCAGACGCGTGAATTTCTGGCTTTCCTGGCCTCTTAGAGACGGTAGCGTCTTGGAGTTTGCCCCATCTACCGCTCTGGGACTCCCTCCTGACTGGGACTGGTCCCCAACGACCACACCCTCCCGGCCCCGGGCACCCGGCCACTTCCTTGCATCTGGGCGCTCCATCAGCGCTAGCTTACCCAACGCCTTGAGCAGTTCGTCGAAATTCTCACTACTGCGCATCTTCCAGGTGCCGGCGAAGTTGGGCATGGTGGCGGCGGCGGCTGGAAGGCAGACGCAGGCACGGACCGCGGCAGCGCAGCAAGCGCACTCGGAGCTGCAAGGCGGAGACTGGCTCTCGGCTCCCTGCCCCGCGCGCCTTGAGTCACTAGGCAAGCGCCCCGCCCCGCCGGCCCCGCCCCCGCCCCCCGCGGCCCCGGCCCCGCGTGAGCCGAGCTTCCCGCCCCTTCGTGCCCCCACTCCGCCCCTCGGCGTTTCAGCCTCCTGCAACTTGGCACCCACTCCTCTGTAACTGCCGGGCGACTGCCTTGTCTGCAGGGCCCTCTGCCACCCCCCAGGCCAATCGCATCTTGCTTTTAAGTGGGTAGTGGGAGAGACGGTTTGATAAAATTGGCCAGGAATGGTTATTGGTTGAAACTGGTCAGTGGAACCAGAGGGACTCATGATATCATTCTCTCTACTTCTGTATATGTTTGAAAATATCCATGACAAAAAAAAAAAAAAAACCCTAAAATAAAATTGAAAGTGCTGGTCATAAGGGTATGGGAACCGCCTTCTGTCCACCGTGAGTGCTTTCTAGGAATGCGGGTCCATTCCCCTCCCCTCCCAGTTCGGCACACACACACACACACACACACACACACACACGCAGGATCCTTGGAAGTCGGAGGCGGGAAAGTCCCAACACCCTCCTGGGCGCCACTGTGCGCAGAATTCAGGATCGCGTGAGATTGTGCGGAGTCCTTAGCTGTGTTCTCTGAACAGGAGGGAGCCCTAGCCCCTGTTCCTTTGTTCATAGCTGCACACTGACTATGGGTCAGGAGGGGTGGGATAAATGAGCTCTAGAACCAAGGCACGTGCGGTCTGTTTTGCAGAAAAGTGGAGTTTTGCACCCTGTGGGCAGGCTAACAGGGTCAAGTAAAGTAAGTTTTTGCTCCCAAGGTGCGCCATCCTTAAAGTCTCTTCATTGTGTCTTTCAAGGGTGTACAGACACTTCACTTGGGCTTTTACAGACGCCACAGCCGACCTCACGTTTTCCTCCAGAATATTTTGCCGAATAGCATTATTTAGGATTCCACAACCTGTCACTGTCTTCCTGAAATGCCTGGTTTGTCTTCTGGTTAATAAACCCTTACCACTTCATCAAAGCCATCTTTCTGCTATCAGTTTTGTGAAATTCATATTTCTAGTCAAAATGATTATTCTCTAAACCCACAGGACCTTTGTTTGGTCCTGCACTTGTGCAAGTCTTGTTATGCCAATAAGTCTACCAATCAGCAAGGTTGTAAATCTTTTTTGGAGCAGAAAGCCTCATCTTTCTCTTTCAGAGAAGCTGGTGGGCTTGAACCAAGGACCCCGTGGTTAGCAATCCAGTGCTCTCAGTCCTGGAACTCAGCAACTGAAATCAGGAGTCCCAGGGTGGTGCAGCAGTGCAAATGATTAAGTGTTCAGCGGTTAAGGGAAAAGTTGGTTCCAAGAACCCAGAGATTTCTTGAAACAAAGACCTGGTGATCTATTTCTGAAAGATCAGCCATTGAAAACCCAATGGAGCGTAGTTTGACTTCGGCACACATGGGTTACCATGAGTCACAATTGATTGGAAGGAAACTGTTTCAGTAATTGAGTCTTTATCAATTTGCCCTCCCTCCTCAGGCTCAACCAGGTGGGGCTCGCTAAATGGCCATTGATTTGAGAAGGATGGAAGTTGTCCGCAGCCCAGGGGTAGTGTAGGGGGTGAATGCCCACCAGGGGCTAGAGGAATCTGTCAAGTGCTGCTGAACTGGATCCTGGGCTTCTGGGGGTTCCCAAGGCAGGACTCGTGCCCTGAGACTCCGAGGCCCTGAGGAGCTGACTCAGAAAGCAGCTGGGGGAAGGAGAGGGGCCATCACCATCTGGGAAGGACTATGGGCAGAACCAGTATTGTGGACAAGCCTTACACATAGAAGGCCAGCAGTTGGCTCATCACTCTGCTGTTGCCGTCTCAAAATTCTTAATAATTTTCAAAGAGGGAGCCTTGCATTTTCACTTTTAAAATGAGATCTGCTGAGTAGGTAGCTAGCAGTGCTACCTCAGAATCAAACTCACTTGACTGGGAAGCTGCTGTCTCTGTGGTGAGGGGCAAAGCAAAAGTGTTATCCAGCTAAAACTTTCCTTCCCAAGAGATGAGGAGGGGTTGGGGCAAGAGGCTAGAGGGAAGCAAAGTTGGGAATCAGTATCACAGTTTAACCAGTGAGAGCCAACTGTGGATGAGGCACAGAGGCAGGTCAGGGAAAGGGCCAAGTTAAAAGAATAGAGAAGCGAGGGGGAGAGGTTGAAATGCTGTGATGGGAAGCAGCACAGTGGATGATGGGAAGGGAGCACCCTAGTGCTACTGTTACGCAGACCAAGGAGCATGGATGGGGGCAGAGTCCAGGGAAGGAAAGCGCACAGCTTGTTCAGCATGAGCATGAGGTGGTCTGGACCTATGGGTCCTATGGGCAGAAGTTCAGAATTAACCAGAGCAGACAGGACAGCTAGACTTCCCAGAGGTCTCAAACCTTTCCATGAGGGTATAAGGAGTACAGAAGACAGGCTATCGACACTATCAAGCTACCAGGAGAACCCCAGGCCCAAGAAGAAGCAAAGCCCCACCATCTGTGGAACCAGCTTCAATTCCAGAACAAAGATCCTTGGCTGGTAGAGACCTAGCTCTAGGCCAAGGTCCACAAACAGTCCATAGAATCACGCCCAAATCATCTGAACCTTGCTGATGTTCTGTTTCCTTCCTTTCCCTTATCATTCCAAAGACTTCTTTGAGCCAGGAATCAGGCTTAGCTCTGGGGATAGTGACTGAACAAGTTTCAAGTCCTGTCTTGAGGATTCACTAACTAGGGAAAAACCTAGAAAGTGGTCTGTAACACTATGTGGGCTGACGGGGCCGGAGTCAGGTGTTTGCTCAGCCTTGGTTGAGCTTTAAGGGTTGATCTAGAAGGGTCTGGCAGTGAGGGAATCGGAAAACAAACAAAAACAACGTGTGTAAAGACAAGAGTTATAAAACAGGACTATCTGTTTAGGGAACCACGTGTATTTCAGGATGTTTGAAGTGTATAGTTTGAGAGGATGAAGTAGGAGATGAGACTAGCAGGTGAGCAGAAGTCACTTTATCAAGGGCAAAGGCCCATGAATGCATGACCCTGGGTTGGGACTTTGTCTTGAGGGCAAGGGTTGGGGTGAAAACTTAGAAGTGTTTGAAGCAGAGGTAAACTATGGTCCTTTTGTGTTCTTTTGAAAGTTGCCACTGTTGCAACAGGTTGGATGGGACAACACATTGCCAAGGAACACAGTGAGGAGGCTGTTGAGCTGAGTTAGATGAACTATTGGTGATGTTGTCAGTGGAGACAGGGATTCAGGATGGACTAGAGAACACTGGTTCCCAAGTACCTCTCTGTGCCCACCTGTGATCCTGTCAAGGCATCACAGCAAGCTGGGGAGCTTTTTAATAAAAATTCTGATTCTGAATTTCAGATTCTGAAATTCTAATTCTCAATCCTGGAGACTTGGATTGAATAAATCAAGAATAGGATCCAGGAAGCTGTGTTTAGAAAGCTTCCTAGGAGAGTCTCATTGTGGATCCAGATTGGCCCTGTGAGTGGAAGAGGTCAGGGGACGCCAAAATATCTGGGCTGGACAGTCAGTGAACCTATTTGGTGCAGTGGGGAGACATCGGAAAGAGATGAATTCTGTTTGGGGTGCATTGGGTTTGAGGTTCCTGAGGTGTCTAGGATGCAACAGTCAGTTGGAAGTATGGTCCTGGAGTTCAGGAGAAAGATCTGGTCTGAAGAAAGGGGTGTGGGAGCCAACCAGCCCCAGGAAGCTGTTGAAGACATAAGTGTGGATGAAATGCTCAGGAACCAGACACGTACAGAGAAAAGCCGAGGGCCAAGAGCAGAGTTTAGAGAACCCCAGAACTTTATGGGACAGATGTAGCAGGAAGATCCCAAGAGGGGTCTAGAAGAAGTAGAAATGAAGGTGGAGGAAAACTGGAACATCATGTCCCACTAGCCCAGGGACATGTTGTTGTTGTGATGTACCGTGAAGTCGGTTCTGACTCATAGTGACCCTATACAGGGTTTCCGAGGCTATAAATCTTTACAGGAGCAGAAAGCCTCATCTTTCTCTCGCGGAATAGCTGGTAGTTTCGAACTGCTGACCCTGAGGTTAGCAGCCCGATTCATAACCACTACGCTACCAGAGGTCCTGCCCAGAGACACAGCGTTTATCAGAGAAAGGGTGGTCAGCAGTGCCAGCTGCTTCAGAGAGGCTCATGGAGGGATGGCCACAAAGTACCCTCTGGATAAGTAGCATCATAGTCTTGGTGATTGTGGCCAGAGCAGTTTCTGGAAGGTTGCGGATCTGAAGGCAGGCTGCAGTGAACTGAGATTGGAATGGAAAGAGACTAATTGGAAGCAGAGAATACAGATTCTTCTGGAATCTGGAAGCACAGCTGCCCAGGGGGCGTGGTTAGAACTAGAGTGGAAGTTATGGGAGGTGGTGGCATCAAAGGGGTATTTGGGGTTTGACTTGTTCATTTGCTTTTTGGGTGGAAGAGGCTTGAACATATGGATAGGCTGAAGACAAAGACTACAGAGAAGGTAGAAAATACTAGAGAGAGAGGAGAGGGGTAAATGTGGGAGCGGTGGGTGAGGATGAGACCCAAGGTGCAGGTGGAGGTGTCTGTCTTGAGCAGGAAGGAATAAGAAGTTGAAGAAGACCCTGTCTTATGCCCCCTCTTTTCACTGTGAAGTAAGAGATGGGGTCTTCTGCAGAGAATGAGGAGAAAGTTGCAAGATGGGGGCTCTTGGTGAAACCTAGTTTCCTAGGGCTGCCGTAACAAAGTACCACAATCAGCTGGCTTATAAAAAATGGAAATGTCTTCTCTCACAGTTCTAGTAGTCCAAATTCAGAGCATCTATAGGGTCATGCTTCCTCTGAAGGCCTAGGGGAAGATCCTTTCTTTCCAGTCTCAGCTCTGATGGTTCCAGGCATACCTTGTTTTGATGCTGAACCCTAACTCCATTGTCACATGGACGTTTTCCTTGTCTGTGTCAGTCTCAGTCTCAGTCTCTTCGCTTTTATAGGACACTGCTCAGATGGGAT